TTTTCATTCTATTCAACAAAATCTTAGCCACTATCTTATAAATAGACCTACAAAGACAAATAGGCTTGAAATGACTTGGAACTAAGGGATTATCAATTTTTGGAAACAGAGCTATTAAAGTTTCTTTCCATCCCTTGTTCATTTCTCCCGATTGGAAAAAAATACTAAATAGCATTCCAAATGTCATTTTTAACAAAGCACAAAAACTTTTTGATGAAAGAATATGTTATACCTTCATTTCCAGGATAAATATTTGGCTTCGAATTAAAAACCACCTCTTCCACCTCTCCCAACAAAAGATCATTCATTAAACTATTTTTATCATTCTTGTCCAGCAAGCAGTTATGACTTGGCCACCCATTGACACTACAACTCCTATGCCTCCACCTTTCTTTAAAGAATTTTGAAAAAGCTTCATAAATTTGCTCTTGCTCTTCCATCTCCCTCCCATCTTCAATTCAATTTTATTAATTCCATTAGTATACCTTCTGGCCGAAGCAAATGAATGATAAAACTTTAAATTTCTATTCATATCCTACATCCCATTAATTTTAGCTCTCTTTTTTCACCAAGAGTTCAGTCGTGCAAGTACAAAGTTCAATTCAGCCACTTTTGAATTGAGACACCATCTATCTTCCTCTGAGAGCCATACAATCTTCGATTCTATCATCTGTAATTCCCAAATTTCTATTTTCAATTATTTTCTTTGAATTTCATACTTCTTATGTTTATACATACTCAAATGATATAAAGCTCTCATTGTTCTTCTGAACTTGATGTTCAATAATTCTACAAAACCACCTTTGGAATTCTTACTCCAAGAAGCTTTGACAATACCTTTTGCAGCCGAATACGAAGCCCACACTTCTTCATATCTGATAATCTTCTTTGATTTGAAACTTTCCTCCAAAAATCTGAGTAAAATTAGACAATGCTTCGAAGCCAATCTAGTAATGTGTTTCACCACCATCCGATTGGAAGATTTCAATGCTTCAATATTTAAAAAACATCTGTCCAATCATTCCAAGATCCTAGCTCCACACACTTTATTGTTACACCAAGTAAATTTTTGTCCAATAAAATTTCATCAAAATCATTATTAACTAAGAAAGTTTTCAATTCTTTAGAAGCAATAGAAAACCTAAAACTTTTGCCGCCTCTTTTGGTCTTCTTTTGGCAACAAACAATTGAAATCTCCCCCAATAGCCATAGGGATATTGATACAAGAGAATTCTTCCAATTTATCCCATAGAGCTATTTTCTGAATAACCTCCCTACTTCTATACATCGTCGCAATCCTCCAAAGACCTTTGTTCTGAACCATAAGGTCTCCTATAACCACTTGTTGAGAGAAGTCCCCAATAGAAAAGGAAGAAATATTTATTTTCCATAGAATGATGATGCCTTCTGACAAGCTGTCGGAAGGGACTTGAAAAAATTCCTAATCATCTCTAATTAGAGACTTTACTTCCAACCTACTGAAAGAAGAAATATTTGTTTCTAATAACCTCATAAAAAAACTCTATTATCTCTAATCACTTCTTTGAGATATAGAGAGGCTTGTTTCTTTTTACCCCTCTAAAGTTATGAAACATGATAGAAGCCATTAACAATTTATGGGGGAAGAAGCCACCACCTTGTCTTTCCCATCACCATCTTTCTTTCTATTTCTAGAAACCAGTTTAATAGGCCCCAAGCTCCTGAGTTCTTTAGCAAGTTTTACCTTAGAGTTTGATGACCACAAGTCCCCTTGACAACTTCATATCATGATCCCAAGACGATAGAGAGCTTTCATTGACCATATTCTCTCTATTTTTCCATAATTCTTTCCAGTAACCTGAGGAACGGATTCTACATCCTCTTCTGGAAAAATTTCACCTTCTTCAATCGATTCTAACAATACAACAAATTTATTACCTCCTCTCAATAAGGCATTGTTGTCAGAACATATCAATTCCTTTTGTAAACTTGAGTCAAGTAGCTTTGGATCACTTTTCTCGCAGGAACCACTTTATGAAGAATAATCCTTCCTAGTGCCAGTGTTGATTCTTCCTCAACCAACTTACCTTTATCACTATTTCCATCATATTTAATCACATATTCCTTCACAACATGCTTCCTTTTCTAGATTTTTATCTTCTTCTGATTAAAAAACTTCTTTTTACCATAATGAATGTGAATCCATGGTCCATAAGAGGTGTAATTCGCATCAGACATATCTCCCATTTTCCCTTCAAGAAAGGAACTAGTAGAATTGTCTTCGTTGGGTACAAATTCCTCCATTATTTCATAGTCTTTAGAAGTTTTATGTTTGTTCTAGAATATCAACTCATAACAATTGTTTTAGGAATGTCCAATTCTACCACAATTGTAACAAAGATTGGGGATCTTTTCATACTCAAATTTTTTATAAAATCTTCCTGAATTACCTTCCACCGAGGTACCAAGAGGAAGTTTCTTTTCAATTTGAATATGGATATAGATCCTTGTGAATTCCCTCCTCCACCATTAGAACATATTTTCATCAATTAAGTAAGGTTTTCCAACCTTAGATGAAATTCGGCATACATTGATCGCATCCTAGCAATGTAAAGGTAAGCTCGGCGTTTTGATCTATATCGGAGCTGTCAGCCCTTTAATGAATCAAGAGAAGAATTATTTGACTCCTTAAGAGAGAAAGCTAGAGAGAGAGTGTCTGAGATTTTCAAAATTCTGGTTTGGCGGGGCGTCAATTTCGTGGCTTTTCTGGCCGGAGATCGGGCTCTCCGGCGAGGTGGAGGCACAGTGATGGAGCAGAAATGTCTCTTTCCTTCGAAGATGTGGAAGAATTATAGGAGAAATATATCTGTTGTAGTTCTTGATCCGTCGGAGGTCTTTAATGGCGGATCGAAGGTATTGGATGGTTTCAACAAAAATTTGAAAGGTTTGGGAAATAAACCTCTGGTTATAAATGAAGGTGGTGGTTTAATCAAGGAGAAATCCAATGATTGTGTCCTTGGTAAAGGTAAAGGTGTTCTTGAGGAAATCGGTCTATGTAAAACCTTCTCTCCATCTTTATTGGATGATGGAAGGAAATTTTCGAACGAGCTAGAAGTTGGATCTTCCTCTTTGGGGAAACTGAAGGTTAATTCTAATCAGTTGGTGAAATCTTTACCTCCTTCTCCAATTGAAAGGGGGTCGATACTCTGTAATTCCGAGGATGAAGGTAATGTGGATGTTAGTTTGTCGCTGAATAACATTGTTGTCAATCCTCTTGGAGAGGATAAGACGGTCTTAGAGGGGCCGGTTGATAAGGGCGAGAAGGTTAAAAATGTTTTGTCTCATTCGGCCTGGATGAAAAAACCAAATATTAAAGTGGATAAGTTGGATCTGGGTTCATTTTTTTCTGATGATGGTAAGATGGTGGTTCTTCATGAGGAGAAAGAGTTAGAAAATGCAAGGAGACTGGGTAAATCTATTGTAGTTAAGATTTTTGGTGAGACTTCTTCATTTCAGTATATCAGCACAGTACTAAGGAAGCAATGGAAGAAATTTGGTAGATTCCATATTACAGGATTGGGTCTTGGCTGGTTTCTGTGTGCTTTCAAAGTAGTGATAGCAGTTGAGAACATTTTATCTTATGGCCCTTGGTATTTTAGAGGGCAGGTTATTGGAGTAGACAAATGGTCTACTATCTTTAATCCTTTATCTCTCAAAGGAATTACCTCTTCTGTTTGGATAAGACTCCCTAATTTACCTCTTCAATGTTGGGATGAGGTGAATATTTGTAAGATTGCTTCTTTAGTTGGTAAGCCTTTCCTTCTTGATGGCAACTTATTCCAATGAAGTAGGAGGGAATTTGCTCGTGTTTGTGTTCGGATTCCCCTAGATTCAGTGCTGCCGAAGGGGGTATGGATTAAAGGCTCGACTGGAGAATTCTTTCAGAAGGTGGAGTATGAGGGTATATCTAAAATTTGTTCTGTTTGTGGAAAGTTAGGACTTTCTGGAAGTGATTGTGGAGAAGGGAATCAGATGGTGAATAAGATTGAAGAGGCTTCCCAGATCCAGCAGCCATTAGTCAAGAACATTTTAGAGAAAAAAGGGGGTATCGATAGCAAACCGTGGATTCCTGTTCAATTTGGTAAGAAAAAATGGAATAAAAAAACTAACTACATGAATGTGGTCAGCAAGAGGATGTCTATTCCTTTGAAGAAAGTGTTTGTCCCCAAGGTTGGGTTGTCTTTCCGAAAGAATTTGAAGATTACTGAAGAGAATAAAGTGAAGACAGAAAAAATGGTGGTAGAGGAGGTTTCAGTTATTTCAGTTGTTGAAAATAACAAAGAGGGTATAGAGAGTAATCTAGTTGAGAATAACCAGGTTGCTATCCTAGATGATCAGATAGAGTCAACAGGAATTATTTCTGGCTATGAAGTTTTAAATAGGTTCAAGGTGTTATCAGAATTAGGAGATTCTGGATCTGGAAATGATTTGGAGGAAGGGGAGATGTTCATGTCTCTTTCCGACAGGAAATGCTCTGATCTGGGTACTAAGCAGCAACCTATAATTTGTAAACTCTCTGATAACGTTATTTCAACTCAGAATGAACCTAAGGCAGAAAATCAATCTATTGATAAGAAGGTGAAGCTTGTGAAGGAGCTTAAATCTCTGGGATCCGGGAACATTCTACCTCATAATAGGAAGATGGATGGAGGGAAGAGTAAGAAGGTTGGGGGGCCTTCCTCTATTTTTAAAATATGAATTCCTAGCTTTTTGGGAATTGTAGAGGAGCCAAAAAATTGGAGGCTTCTCTCTACCTCAAGGAGATTGTTAAGGATAATGGAGTTTTGTTTATTGGGTTGTTGGAAACAAAGATTTTTTCTATGGATAATAACCAAGTTTTGAAGTTACTTGGCTCTAACTGGAATGCTTTTATGGTTCCAGCAATAGGACTCTCAGGAGTTTTAATGGTTTTATGGAGGAATGACTTAGCTTCGTTCTCCATTATTGAGTCTTCTTCTTAAATGATTTTGGGGTTGTTAAATGTGGCTGGCAAAGGTGAATGGAAGATTGCTTCAGTATATGGTAGCACGAATATGTTTGATAAAAGAAAACTCTGGCTAGATTTGGAGAAGCACTGCACAGGTATTCTTCCCATGTTAATTGGAGGTGACTTTAATTGTGTGATGTCCCAAGAGGAGAAAAGAGGAGGGAAGAGGTTTGTTTTATCCCAAGGTTCTAAGGATTTCAGTAATTTCCTGATCCAGAATGATCTTCATGACGTCAAAACTATAGGACCCAAGTTCACTTGGTGTAATAACAAAATAGGGAATGCTCGTATCTTGGAAAAATTGGATAGATGTCTTATTAATTCCTGTGCTCTTGACATCATTCATGTGGCTGTTGTTAAACACTTATCTCGGGTGGCTTCGGACCATTGTCCGTTATTACTTAATGTTTTTAAACCTGTGGAATTCAATAGAATTATCAGGTACGAAGAGGTGTGGGCTTATTACTTTGGTGCTACGGCGTTGGTGAGAAAAATCTGGAGTAAAGAATGCAGGGGAGATCCGGCTTCAGCTCTGAATGTTAAGTTTAAACGAACTTTGAAAGCCTTGTATTATTGTAGTAAAGCGAAATTTAAAAATTTGAATTCATTGAGAGATAAGTTGAAAGATGAAATTTCTGGAATTCAGCTAGAAGAGTCTGATGGTGAGCTCTCGGCGGATAAGCTACAGGTTTTGAGATTCAAAATTAATGAACTGAATGTCACATTGGCTAGACTTAATACTTGGTGGAGACAAAGGGCCAAAGCCAAATGGATGGAGGAAGGGGATTGTAATTCGTCCTTCTTTCATGCCTTTGCAAATTCGAGAAGGAGCTCTAACTGGATTAATCATATCAAAACAGTAGATGGGACATTGTCGGAGGAAGAAGATGTTATCCGGAAAACATTTTCTGATTATTTCAGACGTAAATGGCAACATAGGAGATGCTCTTTAGAGGGTTGGCCTTCACCATTGGAAACCATTTGTGAGAGGGAACAGAACTTGCTTGATGCTGATTTTTCTAGAGAGGAATTATAGATTGTTGTGAAGGATTCTAAGAGAAATGTATCTCCTGGTATTGATGGAATTTCTTTTGCTTTTGTCAAAGATTTTTGGAATATTATTAAAGAGGATATTTGGTGTGCTATCAGTCAGTTCCTTGCTTCAGGAGTTATGAATCATACTTGGAAGGAAACTATAATTGTATTGATACCGAAAATTAAAAGCCCTCAAGAACCAGCAAATTACAGACCGATTAGTTTGTGCTTGACTGTTTATAAACTCATAGCCAAAATGCTCTTAAACAGATTGGAAAAGGTTATCCAAAATATTATTACATTTGATCAAGCAGCCTTTATAAAGGGTCGTTCTCTTTCTGATCATGTTCTATTTTCTCAAGAGGTTTTCAATAAGTTCAGGTGGTCTAAAGCTAGAAGTGGTATGTTGGCTATAAAACTAGATATGGAGCAAGCTTATGATAGTATGGGGTGGCAAACACTAAGGCATGTTCTTATTCAACTTAAATTCCCTTCTAAATTTTCAGAGCTGGTTCTTAATTGTGTTCTCAATCCCAAGTTTTGCATTTTAATAAATGGGAAGAAAAATGATTGGATTGATGGAAGATGTGGATTTAGACAAGGGTGTCCTTTATCCCCTTATCTTTTCATTCTTTGTTCACAAATTTTGTCTAATGCTTTAAACTCTAGAAGGGTTGGTTTGGGTATCTCTATTACTCCTCTTGCTCCTAGAGTTTCTCACTTACTCTTTGTGGATGATGTTTTGATTTTTTCGGAAGCTAAGATGGAGGATGTTAAAGAATTGAAAAGCATTATTTCAAATTATTGTAATTGGACGGGGCAAAAGGTGAACACCATGAAATCAATGATCATTTTTGGAAAGCATACTAATAGTATTATCCAGAAAAGAATTACTAAGAAACTTAAGTTCAAAGTTGTGAAAGAGATGGATTATTTGGGTGTGAAATTAACTCTAAGGAGGCTGGTGGCATCCGATTTTCAGAAACTTTTTGAGGTGGCTTCTAACAAACTTAATACTTGGGGAAAGAAATTCATTTCTTTAGAGGGCAAACTGGTTTTGGTGAGATCTGCTTTCCTTTCCTTACCTCGGTTTTTATCTTCTATTTCTTTAGTTCCATTGAGTATCTTGAAGGAGTTTGACAAGATGTGTAGAGGATTTATATGGAGCAAAAATAATGGTTATGCTGGTATTCATTATGCTTCTTGGGATCTTCTGTGTAAACCGAAGAAAGAAGGTGGTAGGGGCTTAAAATCAGCGGTGGCTTTGGTTGGTCCTCTCCGTGCTAAATTCGCTTGGAATTTCTATTGGAAACCTTATATGTTACTAAATCAGATTCTAGAGCAAGGTATGGCAAAGATATTTGGGGGGGAACTGTTAAGGGAGGAAGATCTTCTACATGGAAGTTGATTAGTATGGGTGCTAAATATCTCAAGAACATTGTTAGATGGAAAATTGCTAATGGAGAATCTATATGTTGGATGAATGATTCCTGGATTTTGGATAGAAGCATTGCTAAGTGGCCTACTTTTGTCAATATGCAGAATGCTTATGCTGATAAACTTAGCTTTTTTCATTTCTAATGGTAATTGGAATTTGGAAAAGCTGGAGGATTATTTTGGAGAACAACTGATGGAAACTATTTCAAATATTCCGATATATTCAAACTGGAATTCGGATAAACTGGAATTAAATTGCCAGTTCTCAGGTAAGTCTGTTACCTCTCTTGCTTTTGAAGCAACGCTGGATCATGGGATGGAGGTGGATATTTGGGATAGGTTGAAGAAAATCAAATTAAAACCAAAAATAGAGCTTTTTTTGTGGAGGCTTTGCAATAATTGTATCCCATCCAATCCATTCTTAGTTAAAAGGAAAATTGGTATTGATTCTCATTGCCCAAGAGGATGTGGTGTTGATGAAGATGAGAACCATTTAGTTGGTGGCTGTTACAAAATCCAGAATGTGATTTCTGTTATCAATAATTGGGGATTTATGATTCCCAATTTTGATAGTCTTCAGCTTTACCTGGAATTCATTCTACATGTGAAAGGGAGGAACTATCTTGGTGCTAACTTGCTTTGTACTGCAGTTTTTCTGGTTTGGAAAAACAGATGTAAATTGAAGCACGGGATTAGAGAAGATTCAGATATTTCAATAGAAGCAAATTCCATTTTGTCGGTTGTTAGTAATTACTTCTTGACTATTCAAACGGGCTTCTGGGATGCTAATCAGCTTGGTCTGTTATCTACTTGGCATCCTCCTCCTCCCGGGTGGATCAAGATAAAAGTGGATGCTTCTCTCAAAAGAAATAATATCACTGGTATAGGTGGAGTGGCTAGAGACGATCAAGGCAGATTTCTGGTAGCTTTCGGTGAGAAGTGTTAGCATTGGGACATCTCTCAATTGGAACTTTTGGCTGTGGTCTACTTAACGAAAGTGGTGAAAGATTGGATGTTCGAAGCACAAGGGGTTATCATTGAAGGAGATAATTTCAATATCATCAAGATGCTTCAAAATTCGGTTAAAGCTTGGAAGGTTTGTAGAGTAATTGATGAGAATTTATCTTTTTTTGTTAGTTTTTAATCAGGTTGTCTTTTCTTTTTCTCTTAGAGAGGGTAACAAATTAGCCGACATTTGTGCTAATTTGGCTCTTGTTAACTCTTTCTGTTGGGAGAACATACAGCTTGGTTCCATTCCTTCTTCTTTCTTATATTGCTTGAAGAAGGAATGTGATGCTTTAGGTAGGACTTGATTGTTGGTGGTTGTTTTTTTTACTTTAATGCATTTAGCATTTTCTTCAAAAAATAAAAAATGAATCAAGAGAAAACTGAGATGACCACTTATCCACACCTATGATTTGTCTTTTCGCATACCAAGGTCCATTAGACATGACAAAATCATATCCTTCCTCATTATCAAATGCACAAAGCATCCATCCCTTACTAAGCCAAGTAAGGTTCAATTTACCCAAATGAGTCCATTGTCTCATCAATTCAGCATTAATAACATAGGAAGGAATGTTATCTCCAAAAAATTTCACAAGTAAAGCATTTTCCAATTTTTTTGTGTTCTCTTTCACATTCTACTCATACAATTTAATAGCCTCTCTATCCTTTGATAAACAGTTACCTAATTCCAATTCAGAGACTCTTCTGTTTGGTTTTTTAGTCCAAACATTAGATATAAAATTACCAGATGGCTCTATATTATGCGAAACTTTAGCACCTTCATTTTGATGAATGCAGTTGTTGAGTTATCCATATTCACATTGATGTACCACCTCCCTATTGTTAGTCTACATTCCACCTCCTCCAGCTACTATCGATCCCTCTGCCATAAATTGTTCTTTACCCGGCGTAGTTGATGATTCAAAATTCTTCAACACCTCTTAAAAAATCATGTTATTACCAGTAATTGTAAATGTTATTTTGAATTAATTGCTGTTGGTTCAACAAAATCAATAATGTCAAGAATCTTTTACAGAATTCAATCGTCATTCATCATTACTTTCTTCCCTTTCCTGATATCAGGAATAGTCATCCTTTTATTTAACAATCCTCCTTCATTGATTTTTAATGGTTTGAATTTACCAGAATTCAGAAAACTTTTGTAAAAAGCCGCATCTTCAAATGCGACATTTCCACCGAAAGTAGGAGTAGATGATTTGAAAAAACTTTGATTATGAGAATTAGGTATTCCAGGATATTGTTTCTTAGTTACCTATTCTGACGATGATTGGCGATCAGACGCCATCACCGGAGAATCCAGATTCTACGCCAAAATGAAGTTTTGAAACACCAACTTCTCTCTCTAGAAAACCACTGCTTCTCTCTCTAACTTGCTTGTTAAATTTAACATGCTTCTTGTTCAGTTCATCAAATTCATCAAATAATAGGTATGCTCCTTTTCAAACATAATATGTTTTGCTTTAAGACTATCTTACTACTTTTCTAATTTATATTTAAGTTCAAACTTGCATGCATTTTCTTTAATTTCCTATATGAGTCATAATTTAATTTGAAATAATAAAGAACTCATCATAGAAAAATTGACATACCTCATCTTAATTAGAATGATAAATACTATCATTTGCCATAAGACACAAGTTCGATACCTCCACCTCTATTAGTATTCTAATGAATCCTAGGTAGAGTCTGCCCAAAAGGTCTTTTATGTGTTTTGCTTTGCCTTTTGGAAGTTATCTTTCTCTTCACCATTCTCCTTTGTTGGGTGAGTTTTCAAATTGGGGTAGTTAGACTTTAAGTGACTTAATTTTTTGCATTCAATGAAAATAGTGTCACATGAAACTTCAAAATTTCTACCTTGTTTACCTTAGTTCTGTTATTGATGATATTTTTTATTTCTTCTCAAAAAGCTATTTGAATTGTCATGCATCAATACTATGTCATTATCTTCTTCAACTACATAGCTATCACTCTGAGAATCATTTGGCTTCATTATAACTACTTTGTCCTTCTTCTTGTCACCTGTACCAAGTAGTCATTGACTTATGCTTTTCTTGTAGGCAATGAGTGAGCTAATAAAATTATCAATAAAATAAAATTTTAGATATTTGGATTCACATATAGCAGTAACTTAAGCATCACTATTACTAATTAGATAATGTTAAATTTTATTCACTCAGAGTTTGATAATTTTCGAACTAGGGTATATACGGATGTCACTATCAAGATATACCTACTTTACATGCATAAGATAGCCTTATTAGGTTTCATGTGAAAGAATTCACTAGTAACCTCACAAGTGATGCATAACCTTTTCAAATCTACTTATAAGTACTACAGGTTGAGACCCTCATGTAATCTTTGGATTTGAGTGCTTAGAAAAAATAGTTTAAATATTTTGCAATAAGTTATGCTAGATCTCTATCCTCATTACTTCATTCACCAAAAAGTTTTTCAATTTTCATTCCATTCAAATCTACATGGAGCAGAATAACCTTCTTGAAACATATGTCAATTTAAAAAATTAATATATTATAG